GGGCTACAGTTTCCCCAGGGCCAGATTCAGGGCCACTGGGCTTTCCCAGGGCCAGGGCCAGGGCTTCCCCAGGATATGGCCAGAGCCACTGGGCTACTCTATTGTCAGGGACAGGGCCACAGGGCTCACCAGTGGCCCCGGGCCATGGCTACTGTGAAAGAAGGCAGAGTCAGGGAGATGTCATGTAGCTGTGGAAGGAGTACCATGCCGGATCAGTCCAGTTACCTACAGCCTCGTGGCAGTATATAGATTAATAAAAATGTACTAATTTATAAGGCAGAGCTAGCCAGTAATATGTTTGAGCATCAACCAAACAATTATACTTTAATATTACCCTCTGAATGATTATTTCATAAGTGGCTACAGAACCCAGAGGGGAAAGTAGAGAGAAACCATCCCAGTGGTACTGAGCAAAACAGAAAAGCTTCCAACTGCAGGGGACATTGGTGGAGAGAGGGAAGAAAGATCTTAAGGGAGGTTGGATAATAGACCATGGGTGATATGAGGGGACAAGGATAATAATGGGGAATGATGTTTAATTGAGAGGAGGGATAGAAGGAGAGACTAGAGAAGAGGGTTGGGGGAGGATAGCTTACACTAAGTACTAAGGATGGTTGAAAATGCCATATGTAAAAAGAAGCCTTCCCGCCAGCCTGGTTCCAGAGCCAATCAGACCCAAATAAACACACAGGAGGCTATATTAATTATGAAGATGTTGGCCCTGCTTGTTTCTTACTGGCTAGCTCTGACTTAAGTATTTAACTCATAATTGTTAATCTAAGTATTTCTCTTACCAGAGAGGTTTCCAAGCTTCTTATCCCTATGGCAGTTACATCTTGACTTCCTGTGTTTCTCCTACCCAGAGTCCTCATCGACTCCTAGTCCCACCTATCTTGCTTCCCTATTGGCCAACAGTGCTTTATTGACATATACACAGGACTTCCCAGAAGGTGTGTAGCCTCCTTGAGTCTTGATTTTAGCCTAGTGACATATGCTTCATATATATGGAACTACAAGGAAAATTTGTGCTTTATTAGACCCTAAGTGCATGGCAATTTGTTACAGTAGCCATAGAAGCAATGTGTTTACCTAAACAGCTGTGTAGGGGTTAAATAAGAGAATTTATATGAAACTTGACACAGAGCTTCACATACAATGATCATCCAAGATATGTGAGTATTATTGTAATTTGTATTTGTTTTTTCTTTCAATAAATTGTATGTCTAACACTACTTCAAGTACTTAGGATTTAATACTCAACTGGCTTGGCATAATGAAGTAGATAGCCACATACATGTTACTTCTACTAGGAAGTACATATTGTTTTATATAGTTTTTTATATTTTATATAAACTTTTTTTCATTTTTAAGGTATATATATATAGTGTCCTGCCTGCATAAATGCCTGCAATCCAGAAGAGGACACCAGATCTCATTACAGATGGTTGGGAGCCATCGTGTGGGTGCTGGAAATTGAAAACTCAAGACCTCTGGAAAAGCAGGCAGTGCTCTTAACCTCTGAGCCATCTCTCCAACACCAGTTTTTCCATATTTTATGGTGCTATAACATTTTTTAGAGGGGAGAATTTTCTGACAAAAGACAGGCTTTCTAAAACAAGTTAACTCACATGGGGGTATTAAAGAACTCCTTGATGAACAGGTCTTTCACATACTCCCCAAAACCTGCTTTGTTTGATTCTAATGCACCAAGCTACTGTTTTCTCCACCCAAACTCAGCACAAGGCCAGATACTAGATGCAGGACCAGACAGTAGACACTTCTGCCCTTAAACAAACTGGGCTTTTTCAAATTAGCCAATCTGAAACTGTTTACCTTGCATTGCCAGTAAAGGCCAGTGGCCTATGTTTCTATTTACCTCCACTCCTTTTTCCTGATCAGCTTCAGGGTTTTCCAAACATGTCCCTGTGTAGCATGCTGCACTCTTGCTTCAAGGGCAACTGTGAGCATTGGTACATTTTTCAATACTTGAGGTGCACTGTTTTATGTTGTCACTCAATTACTTTGTACAAACTAAGTCCTGGGACAAAGCAATGTTTAAGACCTTTGCAGAGTTTATCGACCCACCACAGAGCAGAAGCAATAAGAAAAGGAGAAATAGGCAGAAGCAAGCAGAACTCTATGAGTTTGAGGCCAATCTAGTCTATACAGCAAGTTTCAGGCCATCCAAGGCTACATAGTGAGACCCTGCCTCACCTTCCCTAACTACAAGAAGAAAAGTCTTCAGTCAGACATTGTCTCTCCTGTCTGCAATTCCAGAACTTGGGAGGATGAGACTGAAGGCTCCACATGAGTCCAAGGCTAGTGAGTTCCAGGCTATCCTGAATTATAGAGTGAGACCCTGTCTCTAAAAAACAAACAAAGGTACAAAAAAGGCCAGTAACAACAGAAAACAAACAAAAAATCCAAACTAACCCACCTCAGTCTTGGAGGTTTTGTTCACTGCTGATAAGCAACATACTTTGGGTCTTTATCATTCAAGGCAGTAATCGAATGAAAATGAAAACCTAACTGAAACCCTTCTACCATTTAATTAAAAGGACCCTTTGATTTCACATTGTGTGGTCAGCTTTGACAGTAACAGGGCTTTTTTGCAGCAGCCAACCTGGGCTTTCCTTCTCCTGCCTGTGAGTGCTTCGCATGCCAGAACAGATGAGCTGGGTCATGACCTACGACTGGGCAGCCAAGGAGTATGAAGCAACCAGAGTCTTCTGAGAATTCCATCCCTAAGTAGCCATGGAATGATCAATAGAACAGGAAAGTGTGGTGGCAGCACTCACATTTTGTGGAGCTAAGTCAGTAGACTCATAATGAAAGTCCTGTAGGTGTCCACACCACTGATAAAATTCCAGAATTGCACAACTCACTCAATAACAGCAAGCAGGGTAGTGATCTGACTGCTCTAGGAAGAATGCCCTGCTGTTGTTTTATACTAAATCTCACACTGTCAGAGTACAGGACAGCCCTTCGTGTTGACTCATCCTCTGTAGCTCTGTTGGCATACAGATTAACAGTTCTCACTGGGCCCACAAGAAACCTGAACAGGAATATTAGAGGTTCAGAGAGATTTCATTCTAGTTGACAGAAATAAACCAAAGTGGGATTGGTAAGAGGGTCTGCCCCCTTGATTTCAGCAGTCATCAACTTCAGAATCTTGATGCTAAATATAGAAGAGACTCCCTCAGTCCACAAACCATTAAGACAACGAGAAAGAAGCAATGTAAAATGATTGAAACGTGTGCTGTACCACTGCAGTGATGTCACCAAGCAGATCTGTGATGCTTGTTTATAACAGCAAAAGCATACCCTGGGGTTCTGAATTGAAGACCTTCTTATAGGCACAGCTAAGAGAGATGATTCCTGCAGCTTGGGATGCATCTCTTGTTTTCCTCTATGCTTTCTGAGTTTCTTCTTTTATGCCTGCTCACATTCCTTGTCGGCTCAATTTATGTTGTTGTGCTGAATCTTTTGAGTGCAGAGACTCCTCAACTACACAACTATGCAAAGATTTTCACTTTATCCCAACATTTTTGCTGGTTCTCATTGTTTTCTCACCCTGATTTATTTCTCCCCACACCCTCTGACTGACATTATTATGTTCTTCATTTTTATATGTTTATTGTTAGTTCCTCCTAAATGGAATTGAGCTCCGTGGACTTTATCCACTGCTGTGTGCCCGCAGCAGAGGTCATTAAGTATTTTCTAAGTGAGAGATCTGTTAACATGGGAGGGTGCCTGTTTTCACAGCAGTCTGTTTCTGCAAATGCCTTTAATGCTAAACAGAGTCCTATTGAAAACCAGCAACAACAACAGCTGAATTAACACAAAATGTTAACTGCTCTCATCAGGATGGCTGTTGGCTTAAAACTGTTTTGTACATTTAGATACATGCCACAGATAAAGACAGGGTTTTAATCAACCACCTTTTACCTTGGAGCTCACACACAGTATAAGACGAGATATTCTAGGCTAGTAAACAAGGGTTTACTTTTTTTCAATTGAGAAAAATCATTCTTTGCCTCTGAAAACAGGCTTACTTGTGGTTGGTTTCTTCCTTTCCTGTCTTTCTCTTTCCTATCTCTCTCCCTTCCTTGCTGCTTCTCCTCCTCCTCCTCCTCCTCCTCCTCCTCCTCCTCCTCCTCCTCCTCCTCCTCCTCCTCCTCCTCCTCCTCCTCCTTCTCTCTGTCTCTCTGTTTCTGTCTCTGTCTCTGTCTGCTCTGTCTCTGTCTGTCTGTCTGTCTCACTCTCTCCCTCCCTCCCTCCCCCTCCCTCCCTCCCTCCCTCCCTCTCTCTCTCTCTCTCTCTCTCTCTCTCTCTCTCTCTCTCTCTCTCTCTCTCTCTCTCTGTGATACCGATATCACTTCCTTTCCAGACTTGTCTTAAACTCCTACATTCAATGAATTCCTATGTGTCAGCTTCCCCCCAAACTGGGACCACAAACACACACCGTTTGGTTTATGACTGGTATCTTTGATAATTAAAACAAAATCATCAATTCCTGGCACGTTATGCTATTGATTTCTACACAGAAATCCAGGGCAATTTGGTAAAGTTTCTACGTGGAAGTTTCCTGATCACACAGAGTAGATAAAATTTCAAAATGAAATTCCTATTGACTACTTTTATGATATGCTAAATATCATGTTTCATATCTTTAAAATTACAAGTAAGTTTCTGTTACTCTTTTTAGAATAGTTAACAGCTGCATGCTTTGATTCATTTTATCTTGGCTTGCTAAGAAATGGCTTTGGGCAGAATGCTGTAGTGCCTGGGATTGCTAGAACAAAGGGAGCATTTAGAGAAGTTCTCTGTCTTCCTGGAATTAACTTAATGAATGGAAGAAGGCTCAGCCTTACAAACACTGAGTCCAACAGTAACTGATGACATTCCATTTGTATTTAGAGAAGCCTGGCAACCGGGAACTGTTTTTGTTTTTTTTTGTTTTTTGTTGGTTTTTTTTTCCCTCTTCCTGGTTTACCAGAGGCAAACTGAGTTGGAAAATGTTGTTTGCTTTAATGAAATGATTTACTCTTGTGCAACATTAAGTTGTGTCAATTAAGCAAATAAAGGAAGAAAGTCTTATAAAATTGCTTCTTCCTGATTTCATTTTATTTCATCTCAGTCTCCAAGACAGGAGAAAAATGAACTTTTTGCTGCTTGGTACTTTTCTATTTTTGTATACTCCCCTAGCCTGGACAAGAGATAGACATTATTACATTGGAATTATTGAAGCAGTTTGGAACTATGCTTCTGACGATGGAGAAAAGAAACTTATTTCAGTTGACACGTAAGTCACTATTCTTTGCTGTTTATGGGCCACGCTTGTAAATTAACAACTTAGAAAATGAAGCCAACAACAAAAGTATTTCTTTAATTTGTTAAAAATAGAAACTGCTAAATGTTGACTTGAAAAGCAATACTTTTACTGGTTTCCTTTGTGTTCCCTAGATTTGTTACTATGAAGCTGTCCTGCTCTTTTCCCATTGCTCCAAGGGAACTGTGCTGGTCTCTCACTGTTTCCTGTGGGTAGCCATTCCATTATCTATATTCCAAATGTACTCTTCCTCTAGATGCGATGTTCTTTAAAAAAAACTCACTATGTAAAATGTTCCTAATGGTGACAGTAGAGCATTTTTAATTCTTCAAATATAGAACATAAAAATGAAATGCAACTTAAATATGATTCTGCCTAATACTTGTTCTGAGATTCAGGACAGTGAATGAATGATACTAATCTCTCTCACAGTTTCTGAGTTCTTATCTATAAAATGAGACATCAAGCACTCCTCACCGGGCTTTTATAACAGTGCCTGAAAAGCTCTTAGCACAGCTCCACACATAACACGTGCAAGAAATGTTATGTTCTTATTATGAGGTCCTGATAAAACACCATGGAACTTAAAAGTCTTTGTATTTTAGTTGCTTTATATCAAGCAATATTCTCTATACAGAGAATTTTGTTTAATTTTATATATGGTTGAATTTTTCATGGTAGGAAAAACACATTGCTAATGATAATATCAAATTGTTATTTTACTAACTTAGCAATGTTCTGCAAGAAAAAGTTCTGAGTCAATAACTGACTTCAAAGACAACAAATAGAACTTGTGATTGTTTTGAAGCCTGGTTTTGAGATAGTATTCTCTTCACAATAGTCAGACATATTTTTCAGCGTCACTAGAAGCCTGGTTTTGTATGGTTCATTGTTTCCTAATTAAGTACCATGTAAATTATGTAATGTTTACTTCTAAGGAAAGGGATCAGACATACTACAAAAGAAAATAACTGGACTGTGAGTGAACCTCTGTGGTAGAGTACTTACCTAGCAAGTATGGGTTCAAAGCCATGGGTTCAGTTATCAGCAGCACACACACACACACACACACACACACACACACACACACAACACACACACACACCCCTAAGTTAGTTAAAACAATGAAAAATACTGTTCTGCTCAGTGCTCCATCTACCCACGTAATTGTTTAAAATAAAAATAAAGTCAGTCTATTGAGTAAAAACTACAATGCACTGGCCATGCTCCAATGTGGTAAACTCCAGGTATGAGGAAGTAGAAGGATGAAGAGGGTTGGTAAGAATTTCAGGGGGTGATTTCTTGGTTTCAGATATTCTAATGACATGTCTGTTCCAGCTAGGAAATTCAGGGAAGATAAGCTTGCCTACCCCATTGTTAACTTAATAGGGACACTCAAGGGTGCTCAGAAGGAAAACTGGACATTTTCAGTTCAGTTCAGCTTTCTTCTTTGCATTGCTGCACTGTCTCCTGTGACTTTCCCATCATCTTATGACATGTAAGTTTTCTCCCTCAGCTCCGTGAACCACGACAGGAGCTTCAGTAGCTTTACCAGAGAAGCATGGCAGCAACTTTTTGTTTCTTCCTTCGCCTTAAATCAGCAGTGTGTGAGTCAGTCCATGAAGCATGTCAGAATGTCACCAGACATGGTGGCTCCTTGTGTTATAGACAAAGCAAAGCAGAAATAAATAAGATGAAGAAGAAGTTGTGAAAGAGCCCTGAAATGAGTGTCAGTTGGAGAACTAGGTTGAAGTCATATGCTGATTTAAAAGGTCTGGGATAAGGAAAAAAAGACACATTTGAGAGGCAGGGATTGTCTGTGCTATGATGACTGCTTGGTCACAAGTGTCTGTGAGAGAGAGCACACTAAATAAATATTTGTGAATATATGAAAGTCAAAGAAAGATTAGCAGGATGGCAGAAGAAATTACAGGACATATTATAAAAATTTTTTCTTGTTCCCAAATGGATAAATTCACACTATAGAATTAATCAGGCAACAGAATAAAATAGGAAAGTGAGTCTAGATGGCCTACTAGAGTTAGTGAAACTGAAAACAAGAGCAGATGTTAAAGGAGAAAAATGAATAAAAATTTTTACTCTGTTTTGTTGGTTAGGAAAATAGTCTTATCTCTTTGGGATTAATTCCAACATTATTCATTTCTAATAAAGTTAGGTAGAAAGTAACATCCGTAAGCTATAGTCAGTACTGCTACTTCCAACAACATAAAAACATTCTAAAACATATAGTTCTTTAAACAGGTAATTTATACTTAAATAAAAGAAAGGTATATATAAATAATTACAAAACCTGATAGTGTGCTTGGGGGAGGGTGTTCATGATCAGGATTAAATATGCATTGAATAGTTGTATTGTTGCTGCATTCAGTAACAATAGTAATAATTACATTATCTTTTGATTACTTTTGTTTTCTAGTGAACTGTAAGAAGCTAAGTGTCCTTTAAACACAAGAAAAACTTATCATAAACCCCTTTACAATTAATTTCACAGACTTTTGTTTAGGAATTGTGACTTTTCTAACATGTTGCAAACACTGATATCTAGTTTCACAGTCTGTTGTGCTTGAAGGTTAGGTGGTAGAATAATGATGTCATTATGAGCAAACCTAATGACTAGGAACAAACAAAAATTCAAATTCTCACCAAAGAAACAGGCAACAAACTAAGACTATACTTCCAATGGTACAATCAGAATTATGCTAATCTGGATATTACCCAATACAAAAGTGTTAATCTTCACTTATTATTATTACCAGGGTAAAAGGCAACTTCTGAAATAAGCTCTATTGTAGAGAGAAAAAATTTTCAACAAAGGTAACATTTTACATTACAACACAAATATATTTGGCCAATTGTGGTAGCACACACCTTTAATCCCAGCACTCTGGAGGCAGAAGCAGGAGGATATCTGTGAGTTCCCAGTTAGACCAGTCTAAAGAGCAAGCTCCAGGACAGGTAGTACTCCACAGAGAGACCCTGTCTCAAAAACAAGAACAAAACAAATCAAACAAACAAAAGAACACACACACATTTGTATATTAACAAGTTTACCTGACCATTCTGTCAGACATGAATTGAGCTTCTTCACACCTAAGCAGTTCACTGGGTTGCAAGACTGCTGTTTCCAGAAGCAACATTAACACACTGCATCAGATTAATTAAAGTGGAAAATTTCTAATTAGATGTTATTAGTTTCTGATTGGTTAGGTCCGTGTTTCACTTTATCATTTACTGTCAGACATGTTCAACTTGCACTGCACATACCTTTAGAGAACAGCTGTGAAAGTGCCCCAGGACATCTGTAGATGGCAATACCATATTGTAATGTCAAGAGCTTGGACACACCTTTTACACTAAATTACTTTTTGGATTGCTTATATGGACACCCAAGTTGGTAGGCCTGGCTCAACTGAATGGCTTGCCGATTAATTACTTTAACACTCCCTCAAAAATAATTTCAAAAACTTTAAGGACTACATGGTTAATATCAGGTCCCAAAGAAACCCAGGATAAATGGCTAGCTCTGCTGCCTATCAGGATGCCAAAACACAAAGCATATAGGCTCTCTCATGTATGCCTCCTCTCTGCTCTTCTCATCTCTGCCTCCTACCCTAGACCTCTTCATCCCAGAGACTTCCCTTCCCTTCCCCCAACTTCTGTCTCCTCTATAACCCACCCATTTCAGCCCTGTCTCTTGGTTCTCTTGGCTCACTCTTGGACTCTGCCTTCTTAGCTCTCTTCTCTTCCTTTCTTGCTCTTATCCCATCTCTCTCATCTCATGGCCCGGTTCAGTCTGGACTCTTCCAAATGCCTCTGGTTGTTCTCTCCCTCATGTCTACACTAAGACTCCTCAACCTACCTAGGAGCATTCATATCCTCAAGCCCATTCAGTGAGTTTGAGTCTAACCTGAGGTACATGAGACTTTGCCTTAAATTTTTGTTTTCAAATCTTTAGAAGAGGTACAAAATTTGACTCATGCTTGTTAGGAAAATTCACTTACAATGTCCCACTCTCTGAGGTTGCTAAATAAAAATAACAAGCAGTGGTTTGTAAGGGAGAGGCACTTCACACAGGACAGCCTCTCTGAACACACTAATTAAACAACCTTAATTGCTATAACCATTTATATTTCTGTGCTTGCATAACTTAACTGTTTTTTATGTATAATTCACTGAGACTTGTGCTACATGCCCCTGGAGGAGTGAAATGCCTGTAAATAGACCATTTTTATATGATTTCTATGTGTTAACGGCAATATTTCTGAAGTGTCTTGCAAAAGATTTCCTGTCCTAATCTGCACAGTCTGAGGGAAGGATGAGGTATCACATACAGGATTAATCTTTTAGTTAACAGCATCACTAGTCCAGGTAGAGTTGGAGAGGCTCACTGGTATGGGTTTGCAGGGGGTACAGAGAACATTAGAAGCTGCAGAGATGAAGGGAAATTAAGTGGAAAGATTACTTGAGGAGCATATCGGCAGGCTTAAAGACCTGGGAGATGGCCCCAGACATCAGTCACGAGCAAACAGTAATTTGAATTCTACAGACTAAAGACACTGAATTGTGCATACAACTTGGCTGATTCAGGAAGTGGATTTTTCCACAAGTCTTTAGGGGAATGCTTAGTCTGGCATCCCCTTGATTTCAGTGCTGCAATGTCTAGGTCAGGGAACACAGCCATGAGTTGTCAGACTATGACTCATCCAACTGTGAGTTATAAGCAGGTATTACTTCATGTGACTGTGTGATGATTTGTTATGCAGTAATGAAAATCTAATGAAGTCAAGTGAAGTCAAAACTCTTCTATAATTGGGAGATCCAAGGTAAGAATAGACCAAAACAACTTCATTGAATTCTGAACTTACCAGTGGAACAGTATTATTAACTAATGATAGTAGTATTAATGACAAATTATCTGTCATTCAAAACTCAGTTCTGATTCTCAGTTTACCAGATATTTTAGGAGTAGGCTTTTTTTCCCCTTAAAAGTGAAAAAGGGGGCTAAAATAGGAAGTATGATTGCTGGGAGAGAAACCTGTTTTCTGTAATGAGTAGAAAGGATTACAGCTGCCAACAAGGACTAGACCGAAAGTAAGTGTGACTAATTTGTTTGACTCAAAGTCCAAGTATAGTAGACTCTGTGCTTGAACATCTGACCGGCACTGTTCCCACAAGGTTCCAGTAGGTCACTGACCCTTTGTCCCCAAACCATGAGTGGCCTCCTGATGTTCCTTTGGAGGACAGCATCATAAGCAGACTTCCCTGAAGTTAGATATTTCTCAATTTGGAAAGGGAAAGCAAAGTCAGCCTCAAGCTATAGAGATCAGGCAGTGGTGGTACACACTCTTAATTGCAGGACTCAGGATTAAGAGGTAGACAGATCTCTGTCAGTTCGAGGCCACCATAACCTACACACGACTGAAAAATAACAGAGCTCCTCAGAGCTGGAATTCATTCTCCAGCCACATTGAGGACAGGAAGACGTTGAAGTCTCAGGAGTCTCCAGTCATACTGAGGAGAGCACAGCAGTCTGGGATTGTAGTCTGAGGTTTGGTGGAGCCAGGATCACCTTTCAGTCTAAGATAGAGTAAGAGCTAGTGGCCAGCTGCTTTGCTTTTCTAATTGTCATTTTGAAGCTTGAACTCCAATATCAGTCTCTGGGTCATGTATTGATTATGCTACAACTAGCTCAAGGCTCTTTTGGCTAGACAGGAATGGAGACATCAGCTGCAGCTGGCTCAGACTGACTTTGTTCCCTGTAGGCACTTCTTAACACATTTGGCCTTTGACCTCAGGGGTCTTCAATGCCATACAGCTAGTTGCTGTTTAAGCATGTATTTATTAAAATTCCTTATGTCCAAACTAATTCTGTGGGTTTGGGGCAGAGTTCACTCCAGTGTTCTGGTCTTTATTCATGTGTTTCTTGAAGTCTCCAAGCTGCCTCCATTTTTTTCTTCTGCTGTGCTTTACCATAATGGGAAGCATATAACAATTATAAGGTAATACAAGCAAGACACAGCCAGCAAATGTTTAGTAGTATTTTACTGTCCCACAATTGGTGCGTTTTTAACTGCTTTATTTTTCTTACTTCCAGTATAACCATCAGACCAAGATGGATTTGAAGGAGCAAGTAATACCATCTCCATTATTTTTCAGTGTGCAATTCTGCTTCCTTTGAGAGTCCTAGTGTTTATACAATCAGTTGTCAACATATGTGTGTCTCTGAGAGTGTCACTCTAGAAGTTCTTAGTCAATCCAGAAAAATGTGGCTCTTTTACTACCTATTTCTTGTTCCCTTTGCCCAAATCCAGCTCCAGGATCCCTGCCAAGTGGTGGTGCTCTCTGACCAAAGTAGCCAGGTTTCAACTGTACAGCAGCAACATGCACAGATCAGGCACCACCATGGTACCAGCTGAAAACAGAAGCCTCTGCGTTTCTGTCTCATAATGTCAAGGAAGCCCACTACCTCTGCACTGGATGCTCTCATCACCTTCAACCTCACAGGTTCCCGCAAGCCCAAGGTGGCTGCCTGCACCAGAATACACTAGGCTGCTGCTTAAAAACCGAAGGGGCCTGTGCTCCACTCCCCTCTGCCCCAGTCAGAATCTTCAAACGGAAGCCAGGAATTTATTTGTGCATTGCCTAGTGTATTAGTGGATAATTATTAAGGTTAACATTTAGAAAACATGAGGCTAGAGCCCTAGACTTTTGAGAATCACATTTTCAACTTCTGTAGCAATTCCAGAGCCCCTAACCAGCCCCATCTTTGTCTTAAACATGAGAAGAAAAGTGTATCCGAACCTTGCTGAAGAGCTCTCAACCCAGGGAACATGACAAAGTTTACTTTTCAGTCAGGTTATCCTGCTCTGCAATGGTTAAGTGGAGTGTGGTAAATGAAAACTGATGCGCTATACCAGACAACTCACATACACAGTACAAATGCAACACCTTGGTTGTGGAAGACCTTACTAAAATCAGGATTTAGTTGAGTCCTTCTAAATGGTTGCATGGCACTGTTCACAAACAGATCCCACTGAAAACTAACTTTGTAAGCTCAGTATGTAAGAACAAATATAGGTGTAAATATCAAATATACTCCCCCCAAGTTTCTTTTTTTCCCCTTCCTAGTTCTATTTATCATGTTGATATATTTTTAGGAGAATTTTCAAATTATTATTTGGCATTAATCAGAATGCAAGCATTCAATGTGAAGTATCTATGATAGTCAAGGATTAAAAATACAAGTGGTAATTTAAATGTAAAGGTAATTTCTAAACTCATACAGATTACACAATACTTCTAGGACTCCTAAAAGAAATGACAGATTGGACTGTGGGGAAGGCTCAGTAGGTAATGTACTTGCTGTACAAGCCTTCTGATACCCAACACCAGGTAAAGCAGGGCACAGCTGGGTAAAATGAATCACATGACCAGAGGCAGACAGCCTCTGGAAATGGGTGTTGGGAAGCTCACTGGCCAGCTGAAACGGGGAGTTCCACTTCAGTGAGAGACTTTGTCTCGAAAGCTAAAGTGGAAAGTGATGGGGGAAGGTCCAAACAGATTTCCCGCCTCCACATCCTTACCACAGGTGGGTGTGCTCTCGTGCACAAATGCCCGTTCAAATGTGCGTGCACACACACACAACACACACACACACGCAACACACTCAAATCAATAATTTAAAAAATAAAATTAATTTAGTTCCACTAACTTTTGATTTGTTTTATTTTTGGCACCATGGTTTTGCAAGGCCCTCACAGGTGGTTCTCTACCATGCTTCTGATACAAAACATCTCATGTATTAAAATAGAGACAGTCGACGACTCTCCTCTTCGTCTTTGGAGGTGTTTATACAACAGGCAAAGGCTGAATGTTGATGTGATCATTGATTTTCCTAAATTCTAATGCTATTTCCAGAAATGAAGGCTTCTGATGAAAGTGTCTTTTCCTTTGCAGGGAACAGTCCAATCTGTATCTTCAAAATGGCCCAGATCGTATTGGAAGAACATACAAGAAGGCCCTTTATGTTCAGTACACAGATGACACCTTTACCAAGACTATAGACAAACCAGTCTGGCTAGGGTTTCTAGGCCCTATTATCAAAGCTGAAGTTGGAGATAAAGTTTATGTTCTTTTAAAGAACTTTGCCTCTAGGCCCTACACTTTTCATGCACATGGGGTAACTTACTACAAGGAGAATGAGGGTAAGTTCAGTGTGTACTGTGGTTATAGTTTCCTATCAGTAGGAAAACCTTTTAACTTCTAAAATCAGTATCTTTAGGTAGAACCTGTAACTACAGTTTTAACACCAATCTCTTTTATAATGGGATTTGAACTCATCACAATAAGTGCTTTGTTTCTTCTAGTTATGTGACTTTCTGGAGTGGGAATGCCATACATGCAGAAACAGACTAGGTACTGATATCAGCTGAACCACCAGTAATTAATTCCCCATCTAACAGAAGGAGAACATGAGATGTAGACAGCTTAGAAGGGGGCATGAAGCCAGAGGGAAGAGAAGGATTCAGGGAAGAGGCTGTCTTATCTTTGGAATTCTTCCGGTGATCATTCAGTGGCTTCTATCACCTTCCATCCTGAAGCAGGCCAGCTAAGGTGGCCTGAATAATCTCATACACCAGCCACACAGCCTGAGGACCTGTGTTCAGTCCCTGGAACTCATGTGGTGAAAGGAGAACACTGGAACACTGACTCCCCCAGGTTTTCAGCTTACCTATGCACCACAATGTGTGTGTGCATGTACACACACACACAAACACACACACACTCTAAAGGAGTAAATGTAAAATAAATTACATTTTTAAAGAGGTAAATTTTTAGAAAGTGAATGATGTTGTGTGTCTTTTACTGAAGAGACATAGACCTTTGAGTGTGTACCCCACGTAGGGCACTCAAGAAATGATGCTCCCTAAGTCTTGCATGATGAACCAGTGAGCTGAACTGGGTTCACTTGCAGGAGCATGGCAATGCACAGGCAGTGATATGAAAGAAGAGCATCATAGCATCATGTAATACCTTAGGGGAAGTCAGGGATGCCGTGGAACACTGTTTCCTGAGGTACCTCATGAGCCTGCCCTCTCTGGGTCCAATCTTGTGAGAGTCTCCTGTGGCTAACCACAGCTGCTCTGATTGCAAAATTGCAAGGGCATGTCATGACCAGAGGACAGAGTTCCACATCACACCATCTCTTTTATGTTTCTATCTTAACGAAATGGTTAAACTAATAGTATAACGATCAGCTATCATGCTTTTTCTTTTTTACAATACCATGGTATATTAGAGTTAATGCTAACTTTCAAGAGATAGTAGGAAGCTCGTGTGTGCTAAAAGGAAAAGATCTTAATTTTTAAAGATACATACTCAGGTACTTATAAACTGGATATATCTAGAATTTTCTTTTAAAAAATTCATATGGCTAAAGATAAAGCTGAGTGGGGTTATAGAAAAAAGCAAGAATGGCTTTCAGTTTACCACTGTTAAATCTGGGTTTATAGATACACTAAAATCCAGTAACACTTAGAGGAAGATAGTTCATTTCAACTTGCACATGTTTGAAAATTTCTAAAGTTAAGTGTAAATATTTGCATTCTGTAATTTCCACACATATACACACAAATCAGATATTGTATAAGAAGTTTCAATTATTTGAGAGGCTGTTTTTTTTGTTTTTGTTTTTATTGTTGTTGGTTTTTTTTTTTTTTTGCCTACACTTTATACCATGACCCCAGGTGAAAGCTTTCCCTTAAATTATAAAAGTTATGCTCATTTTGTAATATGTACTATATATGACTCAATAAATTACCAAATTAATAATAATTACTTCTGTGAGTCTCTTGTTTCTTTTTTTGTGTGTTCAAATAGGACATTACTGAATGTCCAAAGGGCACCCACTAGGTGTTGAGGACTGACTATTCCTTCAACTATGTTCATATGTACTCACTTTCTAACGGCATTACTTGCTGCTTTCCAGGGGCTGTCTACCCTGACAATACCACAGATTTTCAAAAAGCAGATGACAAAGTATTTCCTGGAGAACAATATTTGTATGTACTGCATGCCAGTGAGCGAAGTCCTGTTGACGGAGACAGCAATTGTGTGACCAGGATTTACCACTCCCATGTTGACGCTCCAAAAGATATTGCATCAGGCCTCATAGGACCTTTAATACTCTGCAAAAAAGGTATGTTTTTTTCACTGCTCACAATATGAGAGACAGGCGCAAGGCAGTTTGTTTTCTTTTTTCAATTCGTTTTTTAAACTATAAGTTATTCTATGTAGCAGTTGAATAGATAAATGGTAAGAGTAAATAAAGAAGGAAATAAAGTACAGGATTGGCACTGATGACATGAAAAAATGGAATAGACCTTTAGAGGGAAATGCCAGTGAAACTTGATATCAGTTATCTGTGAGATAGGTTTGCTGGGTATAACTTCCAACAATGGTGTTACATGGCGATACCTGACTTTACTATGTGTGACTACCTCAGGGGCACCCTCTAGCAATAGGTATAGTTACCTGTATTATATTGATAAGTATAATAATAGTACATGTATTCCTCACCTCATGAAGAAAGCATAACTCAAGAGATTGAAATGTAATATTTATTGCACCAATAGTTACCTGCAAAGCCTTCTTGTGTTGGCTTGTGGCTATATTTGTGTTCAAGAAGAAATGGACGCATTTGAATTATAACCTCCTCAGTTGCCAAAGTTTAATGGTTTTGTCAGTGCATGCAGTGCACAGGACATGAGCATCCCTGAGTGTTTCCACAAAGTGGAGTAGCGTGTCCAGATCTGTGGTTTATTAAGAAAATGGACACTAAATTTAAAAAAGAAGCTCCAATCACCCAGAAAACATGTTGAATCACATGCAGAATATTCAGATCTGCTAAATCACAAATTTCTACTTCAGATTCTCTAGATAAGGAAAAAGAAAAAAATATTGACCAAGAATTTGTAGTAATGTTCTCTGTGGTGGATGAAAATCTCAGCTGGTATCTAGAAGATAACATCAAAACCTTCTGCTCTGAACCAGAGAAAGTTGACAAAGACAACGAAGACTTCCAGGAGAGCAACAGGATGTACTGTAAGATTACAAAAGATATATCAGCTTTGTTTCAATAATTCTACCAAGATTATTCTCTCACATACATACTCCTACACAGAGGCCCTAATAACAAAAGCACGTTGGACATGCAATTTGATTTCTGTCTGTCCTAGCTAGAGTTACTATTGCTGTGATGAAACACCATGACCAAAGGCAAGTTTGACAAGATAGGGTTGATTTGGCTTACACTTTCACACCAGTGTCCATCATTGAAGGCAGTCAGGACAGGAACTCAAACAGGACAGGAGGCTGGAGGTCAGAGCTAATTCAGGGGCCATGGAGAGTGCTGCTTACTGACTTGCAGAGTCTGCTTTTTTACAGCACTTGGGACCACCAGCTCATAGGTAATACCACCTACAATGGGCTGGACCTTCCCACATCAATTATACACTAAGAAAATGACCTACAGGCTTGCCTATGGCTCTATCTTTGGAGTCAATTTTTCAAATGAGGCTCCCTTATCTCAGGTGACACAAAACTAGCCAACACACTGTCTTAAATACGAGGCCAGGAAAAAGCCAGAATCACCAAAGGTGTTCCTTAATTTACAAGAAAAATCATCAGTTGGAATTTAGTGCACACACGTTTATCCTCCAAGTTCATTCTGTAGGTTATTTGAAGGATCCAATTAGGATTATTTAAGCAAGTGTTTAAAACTAGATTTACACTATAAATCATCCAACTATGTTTAATGAAATAATTCAGATCACTAATTCTAAAAAGTATCCATTTTACATACTACATTGCCCTCATTAAGATCCCTATTCAATATCATTTAAATATTTTAGTTCACTTTGTGTCTTCTAGAAATGCCTTCTTGACAGTCCAAGCTTTTCCTTAATTCCAGGGACATAAATAATGAAATTAAGTTATCTAGTCCTCAGAATTTACATAGTAAATTAAGTATTAAGTACCTTAATATTATCTATACCAAAAAATACAGATTTTATTTTCATTTATCTTCTTTAAAATGATCTTCACTTGAAAACTGAGAAAACAATAACTTTACTTCCAAATGAGAAAGTGAATTTATTTACAGCTTTCTTCTACCTAAAAGGTTTTGTTTTGTTTTCATCTGACATGAATGTCTCCTACCTGTACATTTTACCTTCTCTCTGTCATCCTGCTAACAAAAACAAACATTAGAAAAATATTGTCCAATTTCTAGTCTGGTGCCCCTGTCACCTCTGGTATATTAATGGTCCTTAACATTAATGTGTCTACCCATGGGCTTCCTAGGTCTGCCCAATTTATGCAATGACCCTCAGTTTTCTCCAAGGGTCTCAAGCCACACTGCTTTTGAACTTTACGGTCTTCCTGGCTTTGGTCCCTGCTGCCATTTCCTGAATTTCTTCTTTCTTAAAATCTCTTTTAATTGTGTCATTCAATCTTAGAAATATTTTTACTTGATTTTGTTATTGCAAAAGAAATTCATTAACTCCAAAAAATCCTAAGCAAAAAGAAGAAATTTAAATAGTCTGCCTTTTGCCTACAAGCACGGTTAATAACTGATTATTAAATAACCTTCAATATTTTACCTTTAACTGAGTGTTCTCTCTATAAATATATATAGATATATCTATATTTACATCTACCACATACACACATAAAATCAATGTAAATAGTTTATAAACATCAGAGACCAAGTAAGTTTTTACTTCTAATATTACATTCATCTTCAGTATTGTATTGACAGTGAGACTTAGCATAAGCTAAGGTTCCCCAAATAAAGAGTATGTGATTGTTTAGCAATGTCTGGCATGGATATGGGGTGGGGTAACTGCAAGGGTGGCAGATATTTTCTATACCAAACTGATTCTGTTTCTGTAGAGCTATCAGTATTCCAAACACCAATGTCTATCAGGCAAAAATTCTAATCTTGACTTGCAGCTGTGAATGGATATACATTTGGAAGCCTTCCAGGACTTCTCATGTGTGCAGAAGACAGAGTGAAATGGTATCTTTTTGGCATGGGTAACGAAATTGATATACATGCAGCTTTCTTTCACGGACAAGCACTGACCAGCAAGAACTACCGTACTGACACAATCAACCTGTTCCCTGCCTCCCTATTTGATGCTTTTATGGTGGCCAAGAATCCTGGAGTCTGGATGCTCAGTTGTCAGAACCTAAACCACCTGAAAGGTAATCATCTTCACCTCTAGTTAACTGTCAGTTGTAAAAACAGCTGTGTATTAGTTACTCTACTAGTAGGAGATGGTTTAGGAAAAGCAGAATCAAACAGCGAATTAAGTAATCTGAACACTGAATTATTACCTTAGTTTTATCTCCATAATGTTTGTACCATAATGCAACAAGAACAGGTAAGCCTGGAATGTTTATAAAGTAATGAAATCTGAAAACAATATTAACTTCTGGAATATAGCAATGACTTCTGCCTTGAAAATATAGTACCACTTGTAGTTTCTCAATAGAGTTCTATAAAAACTAATTTATACTTTATGCTGGAAAGTAGCTTGGTTTTTTTACTTGTGTTAAGTAAAACCAAGCTTTTTTATTTTTATGTGATATATCTGTTCTTTGTCTTAACTTGCAAATATCATTACTGTTTCTGTAACACAAGTTATAAGAACACTCTCAGCCTTTAAAACCTATTTGTGAAATTTACTTCCCAAGGAAATTAGTCTTTCATTTTAAAACAGCCAACCCCCTCAGAATAAAGGGCTTATTCAATGAAAGTTTTAATGGTTATGTGACACAGACTCACTAGCGTCTCGTGAAGAATCCCACAGAAGACTGGTATCTTACTTTGAAAACTCACATGTCTCTTAATGTCTCTTTTCTGTCATAAATACATTAAAAGCTTCATATCTGTTTAAAAACTTAAATTTTTGATTGGTAGTCTGTTCATAGCTGTTTGCCATGTTTTATTGAATTATCTCTGCCAATGGATTCAATTTCCACCTCTCATCTCATCTCATCAGAAATTGCCACAACTCACCAGAGCCTTCTCTTTGGTGTTTCAGCCGGTTTGCAGGCCTTTTTCCAAGTTCAAAACTGTAACAAGCCTTCACCAAAGGCTGATACCCAGGCGAAACATGTGAGACACTATTACATTGCTGCTGAAGAGATCATCTGGAACTATGCTCCTTCTGGCACAGACATCTTCACTGGAGACAACTTAACAGCCCCGGAAAGGTAGCTCCCCACCAAGGCCATTTCCTTTATGAGCAATGATATTAAATGTCTAGGCAAGGCCTACTGGCCATACATGTATTTTCTTCAGAAAAATGTCCATCTATGTCCTTTGCCCAGTTTTGCCTTGAGTAATTTGTTTCTGTTGGTATTTACTTTTTTAGGAGTATTATTTAACCTGAATATTAGTCCTTCATCAGATACTTAGCCAAGTTTTTTCTTCTGTTGTGTAGTCTTTCACGCTCTGAACAATGTCTGCTGCACACAGGTTTCTCTTTCATAAGCTGATGCATTCTTTCTTTCTTAGTGTTCCTTTCCTGTCTGCAACTTTCCACAAAGTAGAGAAGGCGATATCTCAAGTCGGTAGGCATCATCGAGATGATTCGGTTGGTAAAGGTACTTGCTGCCAAGCCTAATAAACCGATTTCCATCCCTAGGGCCCACAAGGGTGGAAGGAGACAACTGACTCTTGAAAGCTATCCTCTGACCTTTATATATATACACCACAGCACACATGGACACATATACATAAAATAAACCAAAGTGTTCATTGTTTTAATATCTGTGCCATTAACCCATGTCTACACACAGATTGCATGATTTCTCTGCGGCCTTGGGCCTAAATGCATAACATGCATTTTGCATGCGTCTGTGCCACACACTGTCATCTCAGCTGCCTGAAAAACCTCAGCTCAGACTCAAGGCACTTGCTGTATGTTATGAGTTGTAGTGCTGTTATTGTATATACAGAGTTTCCTGTGCTTATACAAGCGTAATGTTGACAGACAGCAAACAAAACCTCACTGCTTCCCTCTGTCACTCAGCATCAAGCACAGACTGGTATATCTTTGGACTGTATTTGTCACAAGGCTTGATTTTAAACATTGTCATTAGAGCTGGGTGCTGATGGCACACGCCTTTAATCCTAGCACCTAGGAGACAGAGGCAAGGAGATCTCTGTGAATTCAACTTTGAGACCAGCCTGGTCTACAAAGGGAGTTCAGAGAAACCCTGTCTCAAAAAACAAACAAAACAAAAAATCAAAACAAAAAAGTTGTCGTTTGCATTGCTGACTGAGTTTCACGACACACACACACACACACACACACACACACACACACACACACACACAATTGTTAAATGGACCTTTGCTTGGGATTAAAGCAGAGTGTCCAACAGTTTCTGAAATGACCTTAAACTTACTTGTATCGCTTTGTACACTGTATTTTCCATACTAACAATTAGAAAACCAAAATATTAATCTGCTTTAAACAATATTGAAGACTTGTACTCTGCAGTATTAGATATTCAGCCAACACTTAATTCTTTTCATGAGGATAAACAAGCACAGCCAGCTCAATAGTATGCAAATTTATTTCATTTTAAATAGGAGGTAAAATTATGAACATTTCAAAAATTGTCTTTAAATAAATTTATGGTTTCTTATCTGCAATATTTGATCTGTAAATCTGTTTTATATATCTCTGTACCTGGTGTCTTGTAAAAACTTCTCAGGCAAAAGAGAGGTTAGAGCAGGAAGGCTTAAGGACCCCTGCTGCGGAGTGAAGCATAAATCTAATTGGTCTTAATAATAAAGACCTTTAGTCTAATATCAGGGTAAATGCTGAAAGGTCAGAGAAGTAAAAGAGCCAGCCACTAGAGAGACGTCTTACCTCTACTGTATCCTCAGACCTAAGGGGCTCAGCTCCTGTCTCTAGGAATTCTCAGACTGAATGGATGAAAGATCATGTCTCCATTCACCTTTATATTCCTCTAGGTCCCTAGAGATCCTGTCTCCGCCCATCTTATATTCCTATCTCCAACACCCTGGTACTTGGTTTAAAGGCATGTGCCTCCTAAGTACTGGGATCAAAGGCATGAGATGCCAAGTGCTGGGATCAAAGATGTGTGCTACCGCTGCTTGGCTGCTATCCTTAACTAGTGGCTACCTCCACTCTCTGATCTTCAAGAAAGCTTTATTTGTTAGAGCATAAACTAAATATCATCACAGTAGAGCCTGGCATACTCATGACATATTTACTCTTGCTCCTTCAAGTCTCCTACATGTAGTGGCATCCTGCCCTTTCTTTCCACCATCCACACATCACCTCTAATGGCTTCTATACTGTGGCCTTAACTGCTTTCCTCAGGAGAAATGCTCCACAACACTCTACTTCTTGGACTACATGCGGTCAGCTTGTATAATCAGAGTTTGATCTCCTCTAATAGACACGTGGTCCATGTGGATGAGGAGTTCTGCTTGCCCGGCATTACCTCATCAACATAGTACAAGGATGCTGGCAAAAATCTGGTGCTAACCCATTTGTCAAATAAAAGAAGAGATAAATGGAGTGTGTTGTAATTTAACAAAACAAAACAAAAACCACCACGAGATAGAATTCACATGGAGGTATTTTTTCATTAGGGGAAAAGGATCATAAAAGGAGGGAAGGGGAGGGAGTAGACTGTCCTCTGGAGGCAGTAACAGCAAAAGAGGAGAGGCAAAGAGAATGTGCACAGGCGGTGCTCTTAGTGGCTGCAGCTGAGGGCATATCCTGCTGGAACCCCAAGAGTAGACCAGTACGGATGCCTGAATACCAACAGGATGGCTTTGTGAAAATCCTATCACTTTCTGAAATTGAATTGCTTTGTTTATAAATGGGAGAAAACTAGCAATCTCACTACATGTGACTTCTAGCAAGTAAAGGCAAACACTAAGTTGATGGTCATACCCAACAAAGGACAGCTGCTATACAATGGTGTGAAAGGTCCTCTTGCAGAACAGGGGTGACATAGACATACTGAAACTTGTTTTTACTTCACTTTACAACTTCTGCTTCACTACACCTCAAGAGTGGCCTAGGTCTGTGTGCCTCTTCAGTGAAATTCGTGTGGACTGTCACTCATGGGTGCAATGCAGCACTAAGCACTACACAGACTTTCCTTCTTCAGTTAGGATTCTATATAGCCACTTCTGTTCTACCTCCACACACAATTAACCCCTTTTCTTTTTGGCAGTGATTCGAGGGTATTTTTTGAACAAGGTGCTATGAGAATTGGTGGCTCTTATAAAAAATTGGTTTATCGTGAATATACAGATGCCTCCTTCACAAACCGGAAACAGAGAGGCCCTGATGAGAAACATCTTGGAATCCTGGGTAAGGCCAAGCAGAGCACAGCAGGCTGGAACCTTTTCTTCTTGATTGTCCCAACTTCAAAGAGAAAAGTGTCAGGACCTGCTGCAGCATGATTTTCAGATAAAATCCAGGCACACAGAAGATCAGTTACCACTTGGCACATAGCAGCTGGTTACTCTGTCAAAAGTAAATTATCAGCCATAAATCTTCACTACATTGTGAAGAGATAAGGGAAAATGTCTGACAATTTAAATAACTGACTTAGCCAAAGTGCTCTTTCTCAGAAACCAAACATGGGCTTACTGATGACCCAGGCTGGATCTATCCTAGAGGCTGCTACCATTGAGCACCAAGTTCTCTCATAACTGGTAAACACAGTCAGGAGATAGTCTTCCTCTTTATCTACAAGATAGGTGACTATTGAAAGTGACTTAATTTTCTGTGCCTGTTTTTTCTATAAAGTAGAGATAATAATGGTTACTACTAGAAGAAAGTTTAGTAAGGGTTAGATGAGATATTAGACATAAACACTTAGAAGTAGGGATAAGATTCAGATTCACTCAATAAATGCCATTATGAATATTATATTAAACAGTTGTATACTATATAGCTATATCTATATAATTGATAACAATATTAATTTTAGAGTTGTACATTCTAAAACACTGTTACCCTTCACAACCAAGACAATTCATCTTAAACTTACCATGACTGGGGGACAAAGGCCACATAGCCCAGAAGACTAGGTTGAAGAATGTGTAGATATTCCAGATTTTTTGTAGGTGTATAGACACTATGAATTAGTTTTTGTGGTGTACAAATTTTACTGACTTGAAGAAAGATAATAAACAAATTAATCTTCCTCAAGTTGGATTAAAAGAATTTTGCATTTTTCCAAATTTGCCACATTGTAGCAATAATGGATTTTTTAAACACCACATCTGCACCTTGACCCTGGGATGCTTGTCAGAGGACATAGCTAAATCCAGTAACTGTTTTGCACTTTCTATATGTCACACAATGATAAAGATAACAAATTCTCTCTTTGTCCCTAGGTCCTGTCATTTGGGCAGAAGTAGGAGACATCATTAAAGTCACCTTTCATAACAAAGGGCCTTACCCTCTCAGCATTCAGCCAACGGGGGTGAGATTCACTGTGGAAAATGAGGGTACATACTATGCCCACTCCCTGAAGGGAGGTGAGTAGGTAATGCAGTCCTGAGTAAGCTGAATGCCAAGTACTGATCATGTTCCTTTCAAGAATTATGCAAATGCAAATAAACCTCTTTCCTATGCTTTCCAATTAGTTTATAGAATCTTGTTATGTCTTAACTGAATAACTACTGACAATCCTAATACGAAATTGGTTGGGCTGTATTAATTATACATTTCTGAAATACTCTTATTAGGTGAATTTTTTCTAAATCTTATTTTATTATCAATTCTGGTTCGCTCTCCTCCTATCCTCCCATGCCCCGCACCAGCCTCCCCATCCCACCCCCCATCCACTCCCCAGGGAGGGTGAGGACTTCCATGGGGGATCATCAAAGTCTGTCACATCATTTGAGAAGCTAGGAAACAAGGAGGACCTTAAGAGAGAGATGCATGGTTCCCAGGAGAGGGGAAAAGGGACAAGAACTTCTGAGCAAATTGGGAGTACAGGGCAGGAGTGGTGGCAGGGGATGGGGGGAAGAGTAGGAAAAAGTGAAGAGGAGAAGAGGGGGGAGGAGAACATGAGACATCAGGAAGACTGAGTCATGGAAGAATACAGGAGAGCAAGAAAAGAGAAACCTTTAATAGAGGGAGCCATTATGGGTTTAAAGAGAAATCTGGCACTTGGGAAATGTCCAGTGATCCACAAGGATGACCCTAACTAAGGTGGATCTTTTTAAAGTTCTTTCAATATTAAGGTTAGAAGCTCATTTTTGAATATTTGAAAAATACAGAAAGGTATAACCAAAAATATTAACAATCCACAATTCCATAGTAATCATATACCTCCACACACATATATGCAGTCCTCCTGCTTTTATGTGTGTATATATAACATACATTAAATATGGTTGAGTTCATAGTATACAAATATATCTGGCATTACAGTTTTGTTATATTTGCTTTCTTAACATTATAAGTATTTATTAATACAATTTTAGTGATATAAAATATTTAATAATGTGGATATATTCTAACAGTTTTTATTGAGGCTTACTAATGAAATCTCATGATTTCGCCACTAATTGTAATGTAACTATAGGCAGCTTATTGAGGCTTTCTGGCTTCAGTTTCAAGAGAAAAATTAGATAATTTGGCCGGGTAGTGGTGGCGCACGCCTTTAATCCCAGCACTCAGGAGGCAGAGGCAGGCGGATCCCTGTGAGTTCGAGGCCGGGCTGGACCGATAGCCTCCAAAACAATACAGAGAAACCCTGTCTCATAAAAACCAAAAAAAAAAAAAAAATTAGATAATTTGTAAAGGATCACAGGCTAAGTTTCTTTCAATTCTACAATTACTTTCTGTTCAGTTTGGTCAACAGAAAATAGACTGATTACCTCCTACTGACAGGCAGTGTTGTAGCTGATAGGATACAAGAGGTGATATTTGCTTTCATCGCTAGTGCATCTTGAGGGAAAATGCACATATCCCCTCTTTGAGCACAAAAAGGGGCATCAATCCTAAAGGTTTGGAGCAGGGTTAGGGGTTTCCTGAGTTTATCACACCAATCTGTCAAACCTGGCAGGAAAGCACAAAGGAGATTATATTCTAATTGGGACAAAGGAACTTAGACGTGAATTACTAAATTTAGCCTCCTGGGTGGCTCTATAGTCACCTTAGAAAACATGAATGTAACCTCTCTGCTGTGACCTTTCTTGTAGGTGTGCCTCATCCTCAAGCAGCTTCTCATGTGGCACCCAAAGAAACCTTTATGTATGAATGGACTGTCCCCACAGAAATGGGACCCACTCATGCAGATCCTGTGTGCTTATCTAGGATGTATTATTCTGGTGTAGACCCTACCAAAGATATATTCACTGGGCTGATTGGGCCAATGAAAATATGCAAGAAAGGCAGCTTACTTGCAAATGGGAGACAGGTAAGCCCAGGCAGGGGAGAGCAAAAGTGACACCCAATCTGTTTTGAATTATAATTACAAGGAGAATTCTGGGCTTTGAGGTGCTGAAGAGTCTACATATGTCTTATTTTAAAATTTTCTCAGATTTCTAAGATCTGTATTATGGTTGGCCATACTATTATATACTTATAATTTTAACACTAGGGTAAGATGAGGCAGTAGGATCAAAAGTGTGAAACCATTCTGGGTTTCATAGTAAGATCAAATGCATTAAAATGTATTATGCATTTTTTCTGGTGGAAATACTTTAAGTTGATCAGAAATTTCATTATAAATGGAATGCATAGTCTTTGTGATAAAAATAGCAATAAGAAAATAACCCCTTGACTCACTATTATAATCCCATACTTTTTCAAATTTGTGAAGTATTTTATGTTGTATATCTGAAGATAAGGGGTCCTGTTATGTGATCCTACACACCTGTAGGCCAAGTCTTTGGGAAGTGAAGGCAGAAAAATAAAGAGCTCGTGACTGTCCTCATCTACTTAGAATGTGAGGCAATTCTAGGCTACAAGAGACCCTGCTTCAAACAAAATTATACAGACAGGGTCTCCTAAGCTGGGCAGGGAGACACATGCCTCCATCCCAGTATTTGAGGGAGAAAAAAGAACTACATTTAGTCAGTCAGGCATCATAGCACATGCCTTTAATTCCAACACTTGGGAGGCAGAAATACATGGATCTCTCTGAGTTCTGGGCCAGCCTGGTTTACAGAATGACTTCCAGGACAGCCAAGGATACACAGAAATCCTGTCTCAATAAAACAAACAAACACGGCATCTGAGGCTATTCTGGGCTACTGTGGTATTAATTTTCCCATGGAGATGGGAATAAGTATTGTTCACCCCAGATGGACCAAAGAAGTGATCTTACCCAAGTTTAGCTCCTTGAACCAGTGGCTTTCCTGGAGTTACTTACAGAAGCATGAGTAACATAAATGTAGCTACAGCACCAAGAAACTCATCGTAGACAACCTTCATCACCGGTGAAGTTTTCTGTAGGATCTAACCTTCATGTTTGCACCTTAGTTGGTCTTTTTCACTTTAACAAACTGTTGTCCACTTGAATGAATCATTGGAGGAAGACAAACAGAGCTTCAGTATTCTATTCCCCAAGGGCTCACTTGTTTTGATTCCACTGACTGATTGTCTTCTGAATGACTAGACCATTCCAAAAACCAGATAGTATTTCTACTTCCTTGCTTGTTTTCATTTTAATCTGCCTGAAGACTGTGTGGATCCTTCTTCCGGCTCATTTCTTCACAACATTTCTTCACTGAAGATGATCTGTGTGGGTTATAGGGTTCTTACTGGTTTCAGGAATGTTGAAGGCTTCTTTTCTGATTCCAGCACACAGACATTCCCACATCAAATTTTTATCACTGCAACAAAATACCTGGGGTCTATTTTGACTCTTGGTTTTAGAGGGTTCGATCACAGCCAGCTAGTTCCATTCCATTTTATGATGTAGACAAACACACTTGCATATAGTCAAAGGAACCTGTTCATCCTCATGATAGCCAATCAGGTGTGCATGAGTCAGGGGAAGCAAGGGGGAGAGGGGAAGGGAACGGATGGAGGAGGGAGGAAGAGGGATAGAGATATTCTACTGTATTCAATGGCACAATCCAAGTGATCTTGTTCCTTCAACTGGGCCCAGCGTAGTCTCCAACAATGTCATTAGCTTTGGGGACATTTCAAATCAATCTAAATCTATTTTAATAAACTGTTTTAGTGGTTTCGATTTGTACGGGCAACTGTGGGCATGAAGGAAGAAGGGAATGTGAAATTTGAGATGCCAGAGGCGCATACTAAGCCATAAGTCCTCAACAGACGCCAATGAAATTTGGGTAACCAAGTGGAATTCATCATGAACCAAGTTTTAAAGGGGAACAGAAACTTCTGTTGCCCTTCTTCAAAATGGTTTGTGCAGAGTATTATGTAAATAGAAATATTTTTGCTTTACTCATTCTATCTTCACCTCATTGTTATTTTTATTTGCAGAAAGATGTCGACAAGGAGTTCTATTTGTTCCCCACCGTGTTTGATGAGAATGAGAGTTTACTCTTGGATGATAATATCAGGATGTTCACAACTGCACCTGATCGTGTGGATAAGGAAGATAAAGACTTCCAGGAGTCCAATAAGATGCACTGTGAGTACTGCATCTACTCCACCTGCCCAGGCTACTTCAGTGGCACATGTGTAATAGTACCAACTAAGCCCAAAGTAAGCAGCATCTTTCATTAATTATCAATAAACAATGTAGTAGTGCTGCTAAGGCAATATCTTTGGTTATAAAAATACCTCAGAATAACTAGATATAACAGACATACTAATATGATGAATGTGCCTTTTAAAAAGTTTGTTTATTGAGAAGGGAGAGAGGAAGGGAACTAGGGAAAGAGGAAGGGAGGAAGGGAGGAAGGGAGGGAGGAAGAGATAATGAACACATGCCATGGTGCCTGTGGGGGCCAAAACAGGTCAGTTTTCTCTTCCCAGAACTCGGGTTTGGTGGGCTTCCCAGCAAGGGCCTTTGTCAGCTGAGCCATCTTGCTGGTCCCTGCATGTTTCTTTGTGTTTCCTAGATTAGCAGCCTCAGCTGTGCCCAAGAGTTTGTGAGCACAGCAAATTCTTGGACCCATTTTTGAGTTACTGAATTATAAACACTGCAGTAAGTCCTAGGAATCTGTATTTAACAAATCCTTAATTGATTCCAATGACATGCTCTATTTGAGAATAATGGACTATATGCTATTCTCATTAGTAGCCCAGTAATGACAGATGTCTCCTTTTATTTTTTTCAATGATCTAAAAATATAAACTCTTTCATTATGATTCAAAAATATGAACTCTGCCATAATAATTCCCATGCTTGATTGCTCATCAAAATCAACTGACAACTTTAAAACTCCTAAGACCCAAGGAAATCTGCATCATTTTTACTTAAATGAGGATGAGTATCAGATTTTTTTATGTTTTAACTAATTTATATGTGATTAGTGTTTAGAGACGGTGGGCTAATTGTTCCAAAGACCCACATCATTCAGAGAGAACAGTAAACATTTACTATGGTTGGTAGAAGTAAAAAATTGTAAAGTTTCAGTGCCAATTAATAGTTTTTGCTATTTGGGTTTTGGTTTTGATTTTGTTTTATGCTAGAATGATTCTACCCACACTACCCACAATCCTTTCAATATTATTTTAAATTCTACATTTTGCATTTTGGACTTGTCAAGAATGTCATCTTTTGGAAACAGCAGTGAGAGAAATTTTCCAGCACTAGATTGTTCCCATTTTCCAAGATGAATTAAGGAATTTTTCATGTAAAACAACAAATACATTCCCAGTGTGTGACACTCAGAGTAAGCTGTTATTACTCACAGTGAGAAAACCAGCTGAAATCTCATTCCAGCAGAAAACACTGAAATCCCCAGTGAGGTAGGGACACAGACAGAACTTCATGCTCTGTTAACTCAGACCTGCTCCCTGTAGCCAGAGACTGTTCTGGAGACAGCAAAGACATTTCTGACATAAGCAATGGGCAGGTTTGAAAGTGTCCTTACATTAGGAAGTCACATTAAGAATAAATCTTCATTTAATAGGATATGTTATCTTCAACCCCTTTTCTCCTCCCCACTCCAATGCTTGCAGCTGTGAATGGATTCATGTACGGCAATCAGCCTGGCCTCACCATGTGTCTAGAAGATACCACTGTGTGGTATTTGTTCAGTGCTGGAAATGAGGCTGATGTTCATGGGATATACTTTTCAGGAAACACATATCTGTCCAAAGGAGAAAGAAGAGACACTGCAAACCTCTTCCCTCATACAAGTCTGACCCTTCTCATGAAGCCTGATACAGAAGGTACATTTCTTTTATTGGTCAGTGTCTTAGTTAGGGCTACCAGTGTTGTGATGGACCATCATGTCCAAAGCAAGTTGGGGGTGGTCATTTGGCTTACACTTCTGTATCACTGTACATCACTGAAGGACATTAGGACAGGAACTCAAACAGGGCCAAAACTGATGCAGAGGACAAGGAGGAGAGTTGCTTACTGGCTTGCTCCTCATGGCTTGCTCAGCCTGCTTTCTGATAGAATCTCATATCATCAGCCAGGGGGTGTCACCACCCAGAATGGCCTTTGACTTCCCCTATCAACCACTAACTAAGAAAATGCCCTATAGTTGGATCTTATGAGACACTTTCTCAACTGAGGTTCCTTTCTTTCAGAGGACTCTAGCTTGTGTCAAACTGACATAAAACTAGCCATGACAGTAAATTTTATATAGTTCTGGCTGAAAATCCTATTGAAAAACATATCAGGTGACAAACTCTTTCAATGCCTCCCAAACCAAATATCCTTCCTATTTATGGGTGGAAGAGGAGGAGATAAGTAGAGAGAGAGAGAGAGAGAGAGAGAGAGAAGAGAGAGAGAGAGAGAGAGAGAGAGAGAGAGAGAGAGAGAGAGAGAGAGAGAGTATTCCTTGTTTCAAAGAGCAGAATCTGAGAGATGGTTCATTTTCAATCCTTTTAAAGGTAACGGTGATAAAGCAGGTTAGAGAAAATGACTCCTGCATGTGTTCAACATGTAAACTTTCATTATGTCTCTACAGTTTTGATGTGGAGTTGACTTCTAACTGCTTGCAACTAGGTATTCTAAATGAGACCAGTAGCCCTGCATATTTAGACACATCTGTGGGCCTGGTTCTCAGTGGGTAAATTATATTAAAACAAAGATGAAAGAACTTCAATCCTATCATGAAAATATACTAACTTGCTTTTAGCCACACTTGATTCACTCTGTGATACTCAAGATCAGGTAACGGTAAGCCCATGAAAGCTAAAGCAAGAAAAAGGGGTGATGGCTAACGAGGAGAGATATTCTCTCTTGAGACAGAATGAAGTAAGGCCATAAGCTATGCACACATCTGTAAAGTTCCAGGCAGAGGGAAGAGCTGATGGCCAGAGACAAGATACACCCCTCGCTGGTTCTTACAACAGTGAGGAGATTTCTGCCATTGAAGAAAAGTGAACAGTGGGTGGCATGAGGGTCAGAGCTGCGGGAAGCTTTGTGATCTGAGGTAATAACTGATGCTAAGTAAGTGTGAGAGATAAAAGCGCTGAGCAAAAAAGTATTGATTGATAACTTTTCTATTTTTCCACTCCAGGGACTTTTGATGTAGAGTGTCTTACAACAGATCACTACACAGGTGGTATGAAGCAAAAGTATACTGTGAACCAGTGCAAGCAGCATTCGGAGGATCCCACGTTGTACCTGGGAGAAAGGACATACTATGTTGCAGCAGTGGAGGTGGAATGGGACTATTCTCCAAGCAGGGCCTGGGAAAAGGAGCTGCATCATTTGCAAGAACAAAAGTAACTTTCCAGTCTCAGATTGCCAAAGCGCTCAGCTGTAATTTTAGGTCTCCTTTTCTTAAAGAGTTACACTAACCCTTAGAAAAAGCAACAGCTCTATTAAGCAATAGCAATGCCCACTTTCTGGGACTCTGTGCTCATTCACCTGTACTTCTCTTGGCATCACAGGATAACTTCCCTTGACCTATTCTGATCCTGTGGCATCATTGCTTTTCTGATGGACTGTCACTCACCTTCAAACCAAATTGAGAACAGTCACAGTGTTGCCTCTTTCCCCCTCTTGATTTTATTTCTAGTATAATAATCAGTCATTCCATATTCCTTATTCTGCTGTACACTTCTTAAATGCTTAGCAGTTCTTTCTTCTAAGAACTTAAAGGAAAATAGGTTTAAAGCCATTATGTCACCGACACTGAAAAAAACTAAAAAACAAAACAAAACAACAACAACAACAAAAACCAGTAAGAATAAATTCAAGCCATGAATGGCCACAGGAACATCAAAACCATCTATCTCAGCATTATATAGCGTTATCTGATACTTCTAGGTTCCCCCCCTTTTTTTTTATTTTCCCAGGCATGTCTGCTCTATCATGTCATTTCATCAGGTGACCTCATGTTCACATGATCTGGGGGATGAGGGTGCACTGTGGGACAGGTAGGCCCAGAATGCCCAGGAAAACATTCTGGCTAGCAGTGGCTAACCAGATAGTTTGGTTTCCGTGATGAGTGCGATCTGAGATAGAAAGGACTAAAAGGTTATTTTGTGATTTGGATAGTGGTTAAAATAAATCATTAGTTAACTAAAACTTTAGAAAAAGAAAATGACCATAAAAATGTGCTACTATTGACTGGAAATACTGCATTAATTCCTGATTGATTGAATCTGGATTTCATAACATATTAGAGTGGAAAATGTGATGAGATGATTTGATCAATGCCTCTCTTTGGGGGTATAGCAATTAAGTCTTCCACAGACAGCATTGATTGAAAGGTCAGCTTAGCTAGGCAAGAGTCAGGGCCAAGACTGAAGCAGCACACTACAGAGTCCTCTTTATATGACACCTTGCTATTTCTAAAATCAACTGTTTTTCTTACTGGGGTGGAAGACAATTTTAAATGAACATAACTGTTCACAAGAATTTTGACTCAAAAATTAAAACAATTTCTTTTCTTTTGCAAAAACAAATAATAACCTACATTGATTTGTCTTTTCTAGTGTTTCAAATGTGTTTTTGGATAAAGAAGAGTTTTACATAGGTTCAAAGTACAAGAAAGCTGTGTATCGGCAATTTACTGACAGTACGTTCAAAGTACAGGTGAAGAGAAAAGATGAAGATGTGCACTTGGGCATCCTAGGTAAGGTGAACAGCCCCATCCTTCTAGCCTTGGGTTAGCAACAAGAGCTTCCTGCAGCAACAGGCATCCATGTATATAGATTGCTGTAGAGTGATGCCTTTTCCTTGTCAGCCACTTGCCAGTCGCCTGTGCTCTGCCGCGTTGTAGTCCCCAAATAACACACAAGACGCTGTATTAATTATGAAGCTGTTGGCCTTGCTTGTTTCTTACTGGCTAGCTCTGACTTAAGTATTTACCCCATAATTGTTAATCTAAGTATTTCTCTTACCGGAGAAGTTTCCGGGCTTCTTATCCCTATGGCGGTTACATCTTGACTCCCTGTGTTTCTCCTTCCCAGAGCCCTACTCGACTCCTAGTCCCACCTATCTTGCTTCCCTATTGGCCAACAGTGCTTTATTGACATATACACAGGACTTCCCCCATCAGATTGCATTTTTCTAGTTCATATATCAAAAATATTTTTAAAAATCGTTGAATAAAAAAGAGAATTTTGTGATTGCTGAAGCATAAATATAATATCACTTATTTCTATCAGGAATAATTTATTAATCCGTACACTGATAAAATTATTTATACTTAGCCAGGTGGTGGTGGAATAAGCCTTTAAATTCCAGCACTCAGGAAGCAGAGACAGGTGGATCTCTGAGTTCAAGGCCAGCCTGGTTTACAAAATGAGTTCCAACACAGCTGAGGCTACATAGAGAAGCCCTGTCTCAGAAATTTTTTTTTTTACTGCATGCCTATAGCTTTGGTGAAGTTCCTAGAAATTACCTCCTAACCAAAACCTTAACCAAACTCTTCTTGTTACCACACACCCCCTGCAAAAAGAAGCACAACTATTTACTTGAAAAGTAAGATGTAATTAAGCATAAGAAAAGATATATATATACATATATATACATATATATATATATATATATGAAAAATGTGTTTCCTTACACTGAGTCAGGGGGAAGTTGCCTCTAGGTTTTCAGGAGCCACATTAAGGCAGAATGTATAACCTGCAACCCATGAGGTGCTGAACTCCTCAACCTTTCAATACTTCCCCAATATCACAGTTTCCCTAGTGAAGTACTTTAGAGCAGTGGTTCTCAACCTTCCTAATGCTGCCACACTTTCATACAGTTCCTCATGCTGTGATGACCCCAAACTATACAATTATTTTCATTGATACTTCATAACCGAAATCTTGCTACTGTTATGAATTGTAATGTTACTATCTGTGTTTTCTGATAGTCTTAGGCAATACCAATGAAAGAATCATTCAACTCCTAAAGGGGTCCAGACCCACAGGTTGAGAACTGCAGCTCTAGAGCGAATGGCATTGTTGAGGGTGACAGGAATGCATGTGACAGGAAACAGCTCTAGCTGGCTAGAGAGCAGAAGCTGTAGGACCAGCTTCATCCTTACCCGAACAACCCTTTGCCTGGAAGTCCAGACACTGAGCCCTAAAAGTAAACTGTGCACAGCAGATCCTGGCCTGCCACCAGCTCTCTGTATTAGAACTCTGACCCTCAGAGGATTTTCAGGCAACAGTGTCTCCTAGAGTTCTAGATGACTTCATATTTAGAGAAGCTCTATCTAGTGTTTTTATGTACATCCTCTGGGACCAGCTCAAAGCCATGGGAGGAAAAGTTACCTGATTTTTGTCTTTGTCACTAACACAGAAATTCAAAAATACAAGACAGTAAACTAATTTTCCTTTTTACTCTTACCAGGTCCACAAATTCATGCAGATGTTGGAGACAAAATTAGAATTGTCTTTAAAAATATGGCAACCAGGCCATATTCAATACATGCCCATGGGGTGAAAACAGAGAGTTCTACAGTTGTTCCAACATTGCCAGGTACTGAGGGCAGAGGGATGTATCATGCAGATATTATAGCCACACCATAAGTGCCAGCTTCTGTAAAGAACAGTCCTTCTAAATGAGTACGTTGTGGGGGTTGTAAAGATGGGGAGAGAAGACGCAGGGACCAGCTCTGTGTGGGTGACTGAGTACAAGTATTTTGTACCAAACCAATTTGCAGAAGGGCTGTAAAAAGAAGCATGGAAGTACCCAACATTTACAAACATGGAAGAGTGAATTAGAGAGATGTTCCCTCCACTCAGCTAGAGCACATTTGAAGTAGCATCTGCTACACTGTGGGGTAGAATATTTATGTGGCAGACTCTCAAACAATGTCTGTGGTTTTGAATTTAAAGCCTAGATCTTTGCTTCAGTATCTGGCATGTCCCAAGAGATCAACAGATGTTTAATTAAGATAAAAATTGTGATACATTATGTGCACTCAAGTACAAATTAAAATTATTTTACAGGAAAGGGATTTGTTTTTAAAACCTATCAGGTCCCAAATATATCAAACAACAAAAAAAGAGTACTCTGTAGAATTACTCTTATAAATTTAAGGAAAAAGAGAGCAAAATTTTCTCATTTGAGCTTCTAAGAAATACATAGATACTATTGAGTTGTAACCAAGGCTATGAAAAAGACTCATCAGAGTAAGAGAGAAACTGGTGTTATTTTAGGTAGGACAATCAGTAGGCCTGGACACTGGTGAAGACTTAAATGATAAGGGACGTGCAGCTCAGGTTAATTGTGGGGTAAGATTCTAGGTCTTTAAGTGGGAGCATGCTTCATGTCTCTTAGAAATGGTGAGGAGCCCAGAGATGAGAGCAGACTGAAGAGGGAACAGAAAGGTAGCAGATGGGAACCAGGGAGAGAGGAAACTGGATGGAGTAAAGGCCTGTGAGGCTATGACTAGGACTCAAGGTTTTATACTAAACACTCAACCTGAGGATTTGAGCTAAAGAGGATTTATCTTATTATCAATTTTTAAGAGGCTCTTCTGAGTGACATATGAGTAAGTGACTGTGGGAGAGAAAAATGGCAGCATTAAAGATCAGTTAAGGAAATTCTGCACCAAACGGATGAAAGAAAAGACACCAGAATTAGAATTAACAATGAGACTAAACAGAGGAGGGGGTAAGACGTTCTCATACTGCAAGTCTACTTGACTGTGATACCAAAAAGTCCTGCTGAAAATTGAGCACAGTCTTATGGTGACTTTGGGAATCAATCCCTGGTGACAGAGCAGGTTGGAAGAGCAGCCTATGGAAATAAGAGTGGTGGGCAGAGGTGAGACAGTGAAGTGCTACATTTACATTTTATGTTCTTGGTAAGAAAGAATTTCTGCTTAGATAAGGTATGATAACATTGGGACTAAAAGTGATGGCTTGAGAAAAGGGAGAAAAACCCACAGATCCCTTCAGAACAGACCTCAATTCTTGCTTGATTCCACAGAGTATTACTCTGACAGTACTATGTTCATGGGGTATGGTAAAGTCTATCTAAACAAACTAGACAGACGGTTGACAGGACCGGTGCATGAAAGTAGTCATAAGTCAAAGTCTGTGGACAGATATACAGGAAGTTCTGAAGTAACTGGTTAGATTGGAGGAGAGCCAGGAGTACATGGGAAGAGAGTCATGACAAAGTAAGGGGGTAGAGTCACTGACTATCTTCAAAACAGCAAGAACCAGTATATGTCTTGCTTGTGACAGAATAGTGACAAAGAAGCACATAGTGTGACAGAATCAGATAACAACAGAAGTAGAGAGAAGTGGGAGAAATCAGTGACCTTCAATGGTCTCATGGCTCCTTGTAAGGAATCATCAGCTCATTGAGCAAAACAGTGAGAAGGAAGCAGGAAAGAAGGGGAAGGGGAAGCTGAATCTACAGGGCAGCATCAGTACAGAAACACCATGAGCAAGGTGCTGAGGTGGGGAGTAACCACATGGTATCTGCAGATAAAAAGATATTAATGGAACCTAATTCAGAGTAAGGAAAGATGGATCCACTCATTTTCTTCAAGCTATGACATTAGAATGACAAGCCTCTGACTTTGTTCTGACAAGTAAATGAGAGCTGCTTAATTCATAGTAAGTATATGATTACATAAAAATACCTTAGTGTATCTTAGAACTGAACTCCAGGGACATCAAGGTGGTTAAATGGGTAAAGGTGCTTAGCCTGATAACTTAAGTTCCATCTCCAAAACCCACTCTCACAAACTATGCCAACTTTCATGTACACACACACACTCATAAACATACACTCACTAAATTCCTGAAAGAATTTTGACTACTATTATTTTTAACATGTAACTCTCGATTAATTTAGGTGAAACTCGCACTTATGTATGGCAAATCCCAGAGAGATCAGGTGCTGGAGTAGAGGACACGCCTTGTATTCCATGGGCTTACTACTCAACTGTGGATCAAGTCAAGGTAAACTTTAAACATTTGTTCCATAAGAGTTCTCCAGATAGAGAGACAATTGAAAGAAGAGAAAGCTAGAGTTTTCCTGTGCTCCAATCTATGTCAAAATCCCAGGAAAATAAGTTGCTCTGTAATCTATTTCAGTTTGCATTTTTAGTTTGTTTGCTTTTAAATATACAGTCATAGTTATCTCATTCTGGCTGATTATTGCTAACACTTGATAAAAATTGCAATTTTCTTTTGCTATGAAAACATTAAGTGCAAAAAGTAAGATGTGCAGCTTCAGAATTCTTTGTTGTAATAAAAAGCAATCCCAACAGGCAATCAGAACTGTATGTATGTATTGTTCAATAAAATATCACAGAACCAAAAATCCCCAACAACCCTCTCAAGTGAGATGGTACACTGTTCTGCAGAACAAAATCTTGATCAGAATCCCTTCTGAGTTTCTGACATGTCAATACAGCTTCATGCTGGGTACCTCCACCTTAAATTCCCAGACTTAAAACCTAGCACCTTCTAAAGGGGTCTTCCTCCCCTCCATTTCCTGTTGAAAAATACCAGCAATCTAAGTACTGCTCTGTCCATTCATTCAAGCAAGAACTTTGAACCACTCAGCTAACCCAGATAATTTGCTCCTACAATTGCCCAGCCCACTTCTCTCCATTTTCACACTTCAGTACTTTGTAATTTGTCTCAACTGCTGCCTCCAAGGCTCCAGACTTTTCCACGTCTTCTTTCAATTGACCAATATAACTGGACTAAGATGTAGATTTACTGTTGTTCTCTGTCCAGTGTTTCAGAGGCTACTCATGACATTGCCTGAATTTCACTAGTACAGCACTAATACAAGAATGATATGAGACACAATCTGCCATCACAGACACCTGACCACACCAAATGCCTCAGACGTTTAAGAGTTAATTGTGGCCTTTCACATAGGTATTCATTAGTATTCTGTTTCTCCAAGACAATGGACAATTTCCTTGGCTTCTATTCATTTCTCCTACAGCAAAAGGTTTTGTTTCATTCAGGTTCAGCCATGGATTTATAGTGACTGGCTCATCCTGATAAGTCCACAAGCGTATGAAATAAACAAGCAACACTATTCATCCAGGTAGATCATGAGTTAAGTCATTTTTTAAATTTAGGTTCCACATCACTCACATGACCTACCTACATTTCATCATTGTTTCAACTTAACCATTTCAAGTATGAAGATACTAAAGTGGTGGTTTCCCTTTGGGCTAGGTATCCCACTAAAACCAATCCCTTCAGAACTGCTGGGAAGATGGATAAGGTCCTGGCTCTCTGAAATGCTGACCAATACTTCCAAGATAACTGCAGTTTCTGCTTGTTTTCAGGATCTCTATAGTGGACTAATAGGCCCACTGATTGTTTGTCGGAAGTCTTACATGAAAGTATTCAATCCTATAAAGAAAATGGAGTTTTTCCTTTTGTTTCTAGTATTTGATGAGAATGAATCTTGGTACTTAGATGACAACATCAAAATGTACTCTGACCACCCAGAGAAAGTAAACAAAGAGGATGAGGAATTCATAGAAAGCAATAAAATGCATGGTATGAGACACTATTCTAAACCACTTTCCTATTTTACTCCCTTCTTCTTTCAAAGAAAATCATGTTGTAGGGCTGTTTTATTTAAAAAATATTGTAATGTAAAAGTCTACTCAAAATCAAAATAGAGCTATGTTTACTAATTCCTCTCCCAATTCCAAACCCTCGTTCCCTTTTAAATAAATTCACAATTAGGATTAAGGCTCTTAATAAGAAATAACTTGAAAAGTAGCAGTGATATTGGTGAAGTAAGCTCTGTCATGTTGACCTAGTAATCATTCCTGAGAAGCCATTATGGGTTTAAACTATTCTGAAATGTATCAAATTTTCCTCAGCTATTAATGGAAAAATGTTTGGAAATCTACAAGGCCTCACAATGCATGTGGGAGATGAAGTCAATTGGTATGTGATGGGAATGGGCAATGAAATAGACTTGCACACCGTACACTTTCATGGCCACAGCTTCCAATACAAGGTAAGAGCCACCCACAGTAGTCGTTCTTGCTCAGTTTAATATGTTTTAATTGAAGTCAAGAATGCATTTCATCAGAGATATCTATGAAAAGGGGAAGCTCAAACAGCACTGCAGTCTCACTGCTATACCAGCCTCCTCACATCTTGGATTAGGTGAATTAACACTTAGGTGTCAAGCAACTCACATCCCCAGAACTACTACATAGTGAAAGCAATGGTCCTCTTAGGATACATTTTCCCCTGTTTTTAAACTAATGTTGAAATGCACTGGTTTCCAAAAGAAAAAGGCACACTGCAGAATGTCTATTTTATAATCTGTACTGTTTTCTGTACATATACCGTACTGGGCTTTCAATATCATTTACATGGAAATATGCCAGTGACAGGGGTTGAGAATGCCTGAACTGTCACTATTATTTAAATTCTCTATCTGCTTCCTGTATACTATCTTTACCTTACAGTTTCATAAACAAGATAGACTACCATAGATCCAAGCACAAGTTAGTTTGGCTGCTTTGTGTAGCTCAAGTCTCTGACAAAGAGGCAAGCCAGAATTATGGTATTGGACGCAGTCACCCTGACTAATCAATGTCCTCTTTCACATCTTTCTTGATGGCTCAGAGTGATGAGGCTTTAGGTTAGGACCACAGATTTCACTACACAAAATATGGAGGGATTCATTTTTTAATGTTTCTGTTTTTTCAATATTTTGAGCTGGCCAATGAAAGGCTACTGAATAAACTTTAATATTTATCATTTTTCTAATAAAGCACAGGGGAACTTACAGTTCTGATGTCTTTGACCTGTTCCCTGGAACATATCAAACCCTAGAGATGTTTCCACAAACACCTGGAACCTGGTTACTCCACTGCCACGTGACTGACCATGTTCATGCTGGAATGGAAACTACCTACACTGTCTTACCAAATCAAGGTGAATATCCAGATAGTAGCTCTAGGTATATATTGTGAGTACAATTAAGATTCTTGCTCTGTCTAAATACATCTTCCAGTATGAAGTCCTTATGAACTGGCAGCCCTGATGTCTTCCTTCTCTACCTCTAAACAGAATGTTTTAGTGCTAGGTCAGTGGGATATCATTTACTTCATCTAGAATGGCATTGACTGTCTAAGTGTACAATGAACACCAACTTTGCAGTGTAATCACACCCAAAGCTGGTGTAAGGGAACAATTACATTATTTCTTTTAACAAGAACGCAACATGACTTATAAATGAACATTTAGAATTTAATTTTTCTTAAGAGAAAACATTAGTACCTCCCACATCAAAGAAGCAAGAACCAGCCCAGTATAACTTCAGTCCCCACCCAGAACAGTTCTTTGTGTGCTCCCAGAGAAGGTCTGTTTCTAAAGGACCTGGGAAAAACTAAAATTTAAATTCCTTCTTCTTCAACTCTTACATGTATAAGTGTACACAGACATCTAGACACACACACTTGCACATACACAGAGCACAGAAAAATAAGCAATCTTTTTGTGAATACATAACAACAACAAAAAGTAAAATTCTAGCACTGTACTTGAGAATTTTAGGAATAGAAATGGCTAAGTTACATCCAGAATATGATTCTTCTTTAAAAATAATAGAAAGGAGTGGGCATGTATGTTCATGTGTGTGCATGTTAGTATGAGTGTGTGTGTGTGTGTGTGTGTTTGGTCCTAGGGACAGAGACAATGGTTTTGCAAATGTTAGGAAAGCATTTTACTACTGAGCTGTGTTCCTATTCCAAGTCAATGTATTACAAATCTAAGTCACTCAAGATTACTCCTTATTGTAAATAAACTTTTCATCTTTGCTCTTACAACACTTTTTTTGATTTTTTCGAGAAAGGGCTTATCTATATTGTTTTAGAGGTTGTCCTGGAACTTGCTCTGTAGACCAGGCTGGCCTCCAACACACAGAGATCTGCCTGTCTCTGCCTCCCTAGTGCACCATCAACACCCGGCGTCTTAAGACATTTTTGGGGGAAAAAGTAGTTACTGGTAATACACAACCACCCAAGACTAAACTATTGGGTTTAATGCCAATAACATGACCAAGGTAAAAAAGTCAATGAGGCTACACAAAGAAAAAAAATTCCTAAATCAGTGGTTGTTAACCTGTGGATCATGACCCCATTGCAGGATCTAATGATCCTTTCACATGGATCACCTAAGACCATTGGAAAACAGATATTTACACTAAGATTCATAACAGTAGCAAGGTCACAGTTATGAAGTAGCAATGAAAATAATTTTATGGTTGTGGGCCACCACAACATGAGGAACTGTGTTAAAACTGTCACAGCATTAGGAAGGTGAAGAACCACTGCTCTAAATAAACCAGCTTGTGGGGCTAGTGAGGGAGATATCTCAGCAGTTAGCAGCACCGGCTGCTCCTCCAGAAGACCAGAGTTCAATCCACAGCACCAACATGTCCATAACCTTCTGTAACTCCAGTTGTGCAACTGTGACGGATCTAGTGGCCTCTTCTAGTCTCTGTGGGTACAAGGCTCCCAAGTGATGTACAGATACATGCCATGCAGACAAAATGCCCACACCAAATTAAAAAAAAAAAAAAAACAAAGAAGGAAGGAGGAAGAAGGAAAGAATGAAGTGAAGGAAGGAAGAGAAGATCTCAATTTAGATGAATATTAAAAACTTTCATCTGATAAACTTTTTATTGTAAAGATTTTATTTTTATATCACAACCTCAGTTCCTCCTCCCTCCCCTTCTTCCTCCTTCTCACCTCGTCCCATCCCACCCCATCTACTACTAAGGGCATAAGACCTCCCTTGGGGAGTCATCAAAGTCTGGGATACCAAGTTGAGGCAGAACCAGGCCTCTCCCCCACCCCACAATTAGGCTGGGCAAGGTATCCCACAATTGGTGATGGGCTCCAAAAAAGCCAGTGCACATATCCAGGATAAGTCCTAGTCCACTGCCAGTCCCGTCGCCAAACAGATTAGTCTCCATATCCGTCGCCCGCATTCAGAGGGCCTAGTTTGGTCCCATGCAAGTTCCCCAGGTGTCAGTTCAGAGTCCCTGAGCTCTCACTGGCTCGGGAGAGCTGTCCCTGTGTTTTTCCCCATCATGGTTTTAAGCCCCTCATTCATATGATTCCCTCCTCCCCCTCTCCAACTGAACTCCAGGAGCTCAGCCCAGTGCTTGGCTATGGATCACTGCCTGTACCCATCAGAAACTGAAAGTCAATTCTATGACAAACTGTTTTAGATGAGTATCTAAAAACTTTCGTTTGATAAAGTAGAATTTTTGGAACTTTTCTTTGGACATAGCTTAAGGCATGACTTAAAAGGTTGCAGAAGAATTCCCACAGACCTTCCATATTTAGAAAGTTACAGTTGCCTTCTCCTTCTCACCCCATCAACCCATCCTACCCTTGAACATGTCTGTGTGCAAATATATAAACTTGTATTTCCTAATTATATTCTTACATATAACCCAATACCACCATCAGTGTCAAGACTATTTTAAAAATAATAAAAATGTATAGCTCCTTTTCAGATTTCAACAAGCATCCCATCGTGTTCTTTACACAGAAAGAAAACCCCAGGTCGCACAAAGATCCTTGGAGACTTCTCACTTTTGTCTTTCACATCCCAAACTTTTTTGTTTTAAATTTCATTCCACGTCCAGAGCTGTTCTGCCTGATTGAATATCTGTGGACCTGGAGTGCACAGAGTCCCCAAAAAGGTGTCAAAAGATCCCTAGAACTGAATTATAGATGGTTGTGAGCCAACATGTAGGTGCTGGGAATCAAACCCTCCAGGTACATTTTGTAATACAGAGCACTTGTCACCTTATAGACTCTGCGATGTGAGTTCACTCAGTGTTCCTCGTCAGACTCAGGCTCATCCCTTCTAGCAGAAGGCCTTACATCCTAATGCGTCTATCATTGATGAACTTGGAGCTTTGGGTGAATGTGGTATCTGCCAAGATTTTCCACAGTACATTTACTTTTTTTTTCTTATGATTAATTAGGATCTTTTGCAAAGAAGAAAACAAATTTTCCTAAATTAAAGCAGGATGAGAGATTTTTTCCTCAATATATGTTTTTATTTAAATTAAAAACATGAATGCTTCACATGTCAATCCCAGCTCCCTCTCCCACCCCTCCTCCCTTGTCCCTCAACCAGCCCCCCCAGCCCCCGACCCAATCCCCACATCATTCCCCAGACAGGGTAAGGCCCTTAACATATGAAAAAATAAATGAATTAAGAATGAATCAAAATAACTATTATTTTAAAAATAGAATATATGTAAAGCATCCATGTATAGACTTTTTAGCCATATAAAGCACAGTATTTTAAGTAATCATCTTAAAATTTCTTTTTCTATAGAGACTAAATCTGGCTGAATGAAACGTGATCAGTGGAAAAAAGAACAATGGTTTATAACGATGTATGTGACACTGAATAGAACACTTACGCTGAATTGGCTGTAACATTTTTTTTAAAAAATCGAAGCCACATAACTGTTCATTTGTGAGGGAACTGGCCTTATTTCCAATGGACAGATCAAATCAAGAAATGTATTTGTTCATTGGGTAACAGAATTGCTTCACATAGTTCACTTTTTCCCCCATCGTTAGGACTTTGTAAAACAGTACCAAATAAACAAAAGCACATGACCAGATGCTGTCTTTGGCTGTCTCACAGGATCACTACAAAGTTCGCTGAATGGTCTCCAACTCTTGCCTTCTCATCAATCGCTCTAACAAACCAGGAGGCAAGGGGTGGGGCTAAGAGTACAGAAAAGAAAGAAAAATGAAGACGGCAAGTTGCGTTTTACAGAAATCTGAAAAGATGGTCAAAAGATGCTATCTGGAGCTAGAGAAAGGTAGAGTCCAACAGTATCGAATTTAAAAAATAAAACTCAGATAATAAAACAATAATTAAGAAACTGCCAGTAAGAAGACTAAGTCAGAGTTCCACAGAAACTGTTGAGTAGGTAGACCTTACTGGGTTCACAGGCTCTAGCAATGAGCTGGACTAGGACATTATAATTTACAAGAGGTTGGTTACTAAAAAGGCCCAATGGCTAAGAACACTTGCTGTTCCTGTAGCAGACCCAGGTTCAGGTTCCAGCCCCCACATCGAGTGGCTCCAGTTCTAGAGAGCCCGAGGCCCTCTTCTGGCCTCTTTGGACACTTGGATGTACACAATGAACACACATAAACTCAGACATACACACATACACATAAAAAGTACATCTTTAAAACAAACCAAACAAGACAAGCAGCGGTGGGACACACTTTTAATGTCAGTACTCAGGAGGCAGAGGCAGGTGGATTTCTGTGAGTTCCAGGCCAGTCTACACAGCTAGTTCCATGATAGCCAAGGTTGTTATACAGTGAAACCCTGTCTCAAAAAACCAACCAACCAACAAACCAGAAAGTTATTAAAAAGGCAGATGTGAACATCATGACTGTGTTTTATTTCCTCATATACTGTGGTTGAAAGATTAAGGGTATATACATATAAAGAATAGAAACAATACTGACTGAAAATATGTGAACTCAACAAGTCATGCTAACAGTCCAATGAGTACATTCATCTAATTCTGAGAGAAGCACACCATGAGTTTCAAAAGTAGCTCAAAAGCCAAGTGTGCAGTCTTTCACCAGAGTGAAACATTACGCCTTTACCATACTTAAAGTGAAAAGAAAAAACAAAATAATAATCCAAATACAAAAATCTGTAATAAGGAAGATATTGTTTGACCAGCAAGAGGAGCATTTGTGCATACTTGCAATGTATTTTCTTCCAGTGGCTCTAGGGTGGACAGGATTGTCATGCTCCCAGCAGTGAATCCATGACATTACTCACAACAGAAGTTTGTGTCCAGCTTTGAAAATGCCTGCATGATACTTCACACCTGTGACACTTGGGAGTTTTGCATAGATTGAAGT